CACCAGTGCGATGCCCCAGGCTGCTGTGCTGGCAGCACACCCACACCAACCTCTTTCCTTTCCGCCTCCGTCATCCCAAACTGATAATGGCCCAAAAGGAAGGGCCAGACAGCCTTCCTGATCTCGTGCTGGATCCCACCATAGTAGATCAGCCGCAGCAGCTCCTGGTCCTCATAAGTCTGTAGGAAGAGCTTCAAGTCAGTGCACAGATGCAGCCAGGGCCAGAGACCATCAGCAAGGGCAACCCCAGCCTGGCCATGCCACCTTTGAGGATCCAAAGTGCTGCCCAGACACTGACCACCTACAAACTCACTGCCCATCCACTGCAGATGATCTCTCAGGTCTCTGCTCGGGCTTAAGTAGAGTCAGAGGCCACTGCGGGTGGACATTTTGGGAAATACAGGCTCACCACAGCCAGAAAGTGGCCCACCAAAGTCACCCAAGGCCACTGCTCTGCCTCTGAGCACTGTCAGGATGACAGGACTGTGGCACTGGCCACAGCTATCCCACCGTAACGGTGTGCCTGGACCCCCCTCCAGACCACAGCACTCAGGGTGAAAGACACAGGCTCTGAATAGAAGAGGTTAAGGAGAGCAACCTTCATTCCCTGGCTTCCACGTATCAAGGATTAGGATTCCCCTGGGCTCTGTGCAGCCTGGGACAAGCTCTCTGACTTCTCAGGGAACTTCTCCATGTGCTTTACCTTACCATGCTAGAACTGCTTAAGTGGCACTGCCCTGGACGTCACAAGCCCACCACAACTGGCACGTCCCAACACCAGCGGCCCTACCGTGCTGTCCTGCAGGTATCTCTGCCATATGTCCACAGTCAGTCCCGAGCTGGCGCTGCAGGGCACATCTGGAGACACGATGTTGTGGTTAACCAGGGCCGAGAGGTGGGTTCGCACCGTGGAGAGGTGTCTGCAATAGGCCAGCCCTGCATCAGGCAGAAGCAAACATTCAGCTGGGCAACTTGGGGAGCCATGAGGATGAAGCACAGGAGAAAGCTCTGATGAATCTGGTCCCTGAACGAGATCCTCTGAAGCCACACTCAGCAGCAAGGCAGGGAGTCTATTGGGACAGGTCATATCTCATCCTCTTGTACCACCAGCACTGCTGCTCAAGTCCAGGGATGAAAGTTCAAACATTTGCTCCCAATCCTGAGCGCATCTACATAGGGCCCTGCATGCAACAAACTGGTCCCAGTAGCCT